GTGGTGGTAGTAGGAGTAGTAGCAGTAGTAGGTCATAGCAGTGGTAGTAGTAGTCGTCGTTGTCGTCGTAGCAGCTGCAGTAGCACCAGCAGGAGCAGCAGCAGCAGTAGTAGTCGTGGTGGTGGTGGCGGTGGTGGTGGTGGTAGTGGTAAGTGGTAGTGGTAAGTGGTAGTGGTGGAGTTGGTACCAGCAGCAGCGGCAGCAGTAGAAGTAATTAGTGCCTTCTGTTATTACGAAGTCCGTTAACATTTGGAACAATCATCAGAATCGTTCTCCCAACCCGGAGCTCGGAAGATGGCCATCTCCCGTCACATCTCCGACGACGGCAAGTGGCAGAACTCTTCGGCCACCTCGCGGGAGGCCCTTCATTCTGCTGTTTTTGGCTCTGCGTAGCATCAATCGCACATTGAAGCAGCTCTATCGCAAGTTTCAGGAGTGAGACTGCAAGAACGATGTTCCTGCGGCCTTGGTTTTGCGTCCATTCTGTTGCTGCACTGACTTGGCCCTGGGATGCCGGCAACAAAAGTCCTGAACGTTCATCTCACCATTTTCCACATCGTTACTGCTGGCGTCTGCAAACTACGAACATAACAATAAGTTTTGTCCAGAAGCACGTCCCTCCCCATTTCCCTGCCTCTGCATGCATCCGACACGACCTCTGGACGGAGAGAATCGCTTATTGCTTCCTCTTCACTGTGCAGAACACACGCTGTCGCAATAGTACTCACCAGCAGATGACAGCATAGTCTGAGGTCACGATATGCGAAAGCAACTCTCGTTCGGGCAGCGAGGAAGGCAGCTGAGTTCTGCAAACCAAAGCAGGCCCATGCCCAGCACAAGCATTAGCTTCGACAAATGTTGAACGAAAGCACTCGGCGTGCAAGTTGCGCGTGTGATTAGCAAGGACCTGCTCCATGCCAACCTGCACTTATGCCATATCGAAGTGCGACGACTGCTATGGTTGCTTCGATCAAGGAAGTATGTAAAGTAATGACATCGCAAGATCAATTCCTGACGCTCAAGGGCAAAGGTATAACAACACAACAACTACCTACTAATCAAGGGGTTCCCAACACGTGCTGCCTCGAGCAACGAGCTTCTAAAACTTGTGCGTGCTACCTCAACCTTCTCTGAAGTTCCGAGTCCGTCGTCGACTGTGTCCCGACTGAGACGGCCTCCAACTCTGCAGGCGGACTTGCCGATGCCTGACCTGCACAAGCGCCGTGGAGATTCCTGATTATTTCTACGTATACGGTCTCCTAAATGCACTGTTCTCCCTACCTGGGCCCAGAGGCCTACTGTAGATGCGGCGGTCCCTTTTCGCCCTCGGCTCGAGACCCTAGGCCGCAGGTATCGTTGTGCAGGCCCTTGATCGCGCAGATTCGGGCCCCGCACCGAATCTTTAAGGGAGTACTGTAAGGAGTCTGAGACTGTTGGTAACAGTTGCTATGGGAGCAAAGTTTCGCGGCTTAATCCCGAGTCTGCAGTGCATGCTGCAAAAAGTCCTCCGTACAATATACCCGGCACAGCATGACCCTTCAGGCACTCACGCCCATTCCGCGCCCTTCACCGGCTAGCAGCTGTATTTCCGAGCTGTGGCAGAGCAGGCCGGTCACAGTGCAGCCTCCAAAACCGTAAAGCCTGAATTGACTCCCAAGCTGTCGAACCTCTGGCTTTGTGTCCAACTTACGAAAAAGGTCGGAGGAGCGCAAGGAAAGAGAAAATCTGCGAAGAATCCTATCGAAAAAACTAACTCTGGTTCAATTCAGGCCTGCCAAAATCCTGCTTTCGGACAACGGCTTCGTCATTGGCAGCCTTGGCAGATGACTCGTGAGAAAGTCCGGGGAGCACGCATCGTCATGCACATGTGAACACTTCATGCCCAGACCCATAGGCACTCGAGTCGTCATACGCGCAGATGCACATTCCTGTCCTATGAAGTCACGCAAGACTCGCACGGGGCCGGCGATGCGTAAGGAGGGAAGCCATTGAGAGGCGGAAAGGCATCTGCAACGGCTGCAAAAATTGGACATCGCAAGAGTTTGGGGATCTGAGGACCGAACGGTGGGTACAGGTTGAAGGACCCAGCATGGTTGAGGGCTCTGTAGGATCGGTGTTTGGGTGTTGTAACTGGAACAACAGTTCAACAGCGCCAAGCTGTCATGTTTCGAAAAACCAAACAAGCTTGATGCGTAACTAATTTCACACACACACACACTCACAGACAAACATGTAAGCAAACACAAACCAACAAACAAGCTACTAGTAACAAGCAGACAAGCAAGCAAACAAACTTCCTGCAAACAAACAAACCTTCAAAAAAGCAAGTAAGCGAACAAGGAACCAAACAAAACGGACAAAATACACTTGAGTATTCATCCGCACCCTCCAACCATGTCGGTCTGGAATGTCTCTATGTGTAATCAGGGCCGGGGCCCAACAGGACTCAAGGCTCAAACGGTTAGCTTCGCACAGGGGCGGCTAGCTCTTGGCACAGAGGCCCTTACTTCCTTGTCTGAAAGTGTTGTGAAATCTTGGTAACAGAGTGTGACACACACACACAGAGACACACAAACACACGCGCGCGCACACACACACACACACGCACACACACACACACACACGACAAAAGAAACTAAACAAGCACACGAACGAAAGAACGAACGAAGGAACCGAGGTCGGGATGGTTGAATTCGGATCTCATCGCTTTTCGACTCCGTGTTTCAAAGAGCATCCCAGGAATCTTTCAAACCGGAGGAAGGGTGTGATGAAAGCAACTCGAGCCTGGCGAGGCACCGGGATGCAGAGCTGCTTCGTGACCAGGGTTCTTGGGCGGAGCAGGCTATTTTTTTCTTGGGTTCGTGCATCTAGATTCCTCTGAGTCCTCCTAGCCTTGGTTCCCGATGATCCTGTGAGGTTCCATGGCTGTCCGACACTAAACTCCCAGATCGCAGCAAAAACTGGCAGTGAAGGCGGGGTCATAGGCTTCTGCGATTTACTCTCGGGCACCCGGCATCTGAGAGTTTGAAGCCGCAGTTCCAGCAAAAGCGGGAGTCTGGAGGCACATTGCTCCCGCACTTCGGGCAGGTGCGGCCCGACACTGCCTCTGCCAGGGTGTTGTTTCTTGACTAGGGCGTTCAAAAGGGCATGTGTCCCATGCAAGAGGGAACCTCTCGCACAGGTGCACTTGGTGAACCGCTTCAGCATCACAGAGCAGATTAGGGAAATTGCAGCAGCCAGTACAGGAGGAAGGGACTGTCTTGTACCACACAGATCTGTACATTTTCCGGGAAGAAGACATGCCGAGATTGATTATATCGTGAGAGCAGCAGATATCAGCCCATGTCCCATTTCCCATCCTGAGAGTTTTGTAAATCAGGGACCAACATCTGTATTGACCTAGGGTATGGAGCTTGGGTTTCAGAAGCTGCAAAGAGCAAAAGCAAGTTGCAAGCTTCCGGAAGCGAGTACGCTCGTTCACCGAATCAGAAAAGGGTCCGATGAAGGTGGAAATTTGGGTAGCCTATGGTGATATGGTAGCAATAGGCCAACAAAAGGCTACTGCATCACCAGTCATCTGGCCTGGTAGCCGCCAAAGGTGCGGAAGGGGCCGTCGAGGAACGGCCTCCATCAGCCAGCGGGCTTGTGCTGAAAAGTCACGACCAACAATGCTGGTCATAGTTTGTTCCTGTCTTGCTGCTTGTTCACTCACTGTCATCGGAATCATATAGATGCTGATGGGGCTGCAAACTCTTGGAGGCTGGGTTAGCGGCTCGGGCATACTAAAAACCGAATCTGCCGCTGAAGCTCCGGAAAGGACTCAATGCTGGCGCAGCTGAGGGTCGGACCCGGCATAGCCTGTGGCAGCACCTCCATAGACCTTCAAGATAGTCATATGTAGTTGGTCATGTAGTGCCGTGCCTTACGACTAGTCTCAACCAGCATCATCAACTTTCGCCTCTTCGTGCGCAAGCTTGCCCACAGGTACTCCAGCACATTACACAGTATCTGCAGATGGATCCGCGAACCCGAAAACAAAACGCACTGCCACCAAACGTATGGGGCAGGAGAATTTCGACCACTGGGCCGCTGCTTCTTACCGAATCCTAGAGTTGCCTCCTTTCACACAGACGGTAAGCTAGGCAGCACCTCGTCTGCCCTCCCTGCCGGGAGGGCCATGGGCAAGGGCCGCCGGCAACGTGGGCAAGTCTATGACCCCCGTGCAGTGCAAAGTTGGGCTTTAGGGATGTGCGGGCTCGAGAGATGTGTGCAGGTGCGTGTGTTGCCTGATGTCATATGTGCATCCTGAAGGTCTAAACTCAACATCTGTTTGTGTGTGTGTGTGTACATGTACATATGTGTATATGTAGCTTTACCTACCTACCCACCCACTTACCTACCTAGCTAGCTGCATGCAAATACATAGACAGACACGAAGACATACCATACTACACCATACCCGCCCAGCGTATCATACCATACCATACCGTGCCATGCGTTGCCCTGCCATACCATTTCATGCCAGACCTACAGACCTCCCCTGTTTCGAAATGCATATCATATGCGTGCAGCTACAAAATCACCCCTCACTGAACAAGTTCAACCCCCCCCCCCTCTCGCAATCATTTACCAGGGTATCCCCTAAAATCCTTCCGTTACAGTGAACCCAACCCCTCTGCAATCATTNNCCCCCCCCCTGCAATCATTTTGCAGACCAGCAGGACAACACCATACACAACCCCGATTCTCAGCCCAGCCCGAAAACCTGGCTTTGTAAACGCCGAAAACGGGGGTTTGCCTCTGGAGATGTTCCAAACCCCCAAACACCCCGGTGCAGAAATGATTGCGGGACCCCTGACCCCCTCACCCGGACCGAAAACATTTGACAGCATGTCTAGTCCCAGGACAAGCGATGCCATGCCATACCACCAAGACAAACGCATACAAACCTTTGAAGCTCAAAAACTCGGCTTCGTAAAGGCCACTGCCGATACTTGGGCCACTTGCCCCTGCAACAGCTGCAATGAAATCAGACACTTCATGACCACAGTGCACACATCAGCAAGAAGCAGTTTTGGCATGTGTCTCCAGGATCTACCCCCTTAAACCCCCTGCAATCATTTTAGGGCTAGCGGAAATGATTGCGGATTTTTTGCAATCATTTAAGGACCTCACCCCCCCACAATCATTTCCAAGGAAGTGGTGATGCTGCAAACATAGGCACACCATCCACGGATATCCACGGAAACGTGCATGGTGCTGACGTGCACGCATGCCAATCACGCATGTATGCGTCGTGAGGACATGCACGCACACACACACACACAAAGACACACACACACACAAGCTGCAGACGGGCATAAACATACAGACAGACCTGCACACGAACGCATCTAGCGTGGCCAAGCACTGCACACACATCACAAAAAGCCCGACCACTTCGAATTCGCCCTAACCCCGAGCGTTTTGCACACGTGCGCAGTTTCCATGTGAACTGATCTAGAATCTGCGGCACATCAGCTGTACTCGTACATTTCGAATCTCCCGACTAGCTAACCAACACTACCTGCATGTGCATTCTGTTTGCACGGATACACACTGCTACTTGTACTGTATGAGTATGCTGTATGCACATGCATCAAGCGAAACCATGCATCATGCACGTTGTTAGATGGGGAGACATACGAGCAGACTTGTGTGTAATCGCGCATGTTCAAGGATCCTTCTTGGACATATGAAACCTTACTTGGAAGCTTCGCCCCCAGCAGCTGTGATTTCAGCGTGCTTAATTAGTCTCGCACGATGCTCAGTTCTTCTGCGTTCTAGATTGTGCGTTCGCCAACTAAGCATGAAAATCGTGGCCACCTCAAGACGGGACCGAAATGGCTTCATCGACAAGCTACTGTGCCCTTTCGCTGGCGACGGCAAGAACTCCACAGTTGTTCACTACTCATCTTGCGAAAAACAGCAGAATCAACACACGAAGCCCCTGCACGTCTCACACCATGAAGATCGCCGATGAGTCTCTGTGCAGGATGTGGTTTTGATCTGTCATGGACTGTCATGGACCCCACAAGTTCGATGCATCTACCATCTACAACATGCTTGTATGTCACAGGCATGCACAAGAGAGTTGCAACACGGAGCACGCTGAACTTGCGGCCCTGAACATGACTGCATCAAGCATGAAGTCTTTTCAACGAGCAGGCATCCTTTAGGCTCAGAGCCACTGCTCGAGGTGCCCCTTGAGTTTGCTCTCGCATCAACTGAGTCAGGAAAATCGAGCCCTGCTCAGGCTGTTGGTGCGTTTGGGATTGTCGGGAAGGAATTCGGGCGCCAATCTGGCTGCATTCGAGGGCGGGCGGTAGGAATGTCCCTTTCCAACAAACTTTCTGGTTTAGGTCGATTTTGACAGCTGGATTGAAGAATAAGAAAGCAAACGCAAGGCAGTGTTGCTTGCTGACGAGTCGGGCAGGCGAGGCGAACACGCCAGTCTTTAGCAGGTCGCATCAGCGGTCTCTTCCAACAGTGGCTTCAAATCAATGCCTGGCTCATTTTGCGATGCTCAGGGTCTTTCTGTTTGGCGCTTTGACTTTGACGTTCTCTGACAATGAAGCAGGACAGGCCGCTGTGTGCAGTTCAAAAAGCAAGCGAATTTGGAGTTTCGGGCTTTTGGACTTTTGGCTTTGTGCAGTCCGGGCAAGACTTCGGTCGTTGCAGATGCCGGCGAATCCAGGTGAATCCAAGCGGATCCGAGGGCAGTCCAGGTCGGTATGTCCCCTGCCGCATCAACTGGGCCTTGTCGAACTCGCTCGCAACTCCAAGAGCGGTCATCTAAATGCTGTATCAATGTGGAACCGTGCCAGGATTCGGAATTCAATCTGTTACCGGCCCATGTGCACAGTCCTGCTGAATGAAAGCGTCTTGTTGTCAAGTCCACATGTTAGAAGCCAACCGTGGCGTTGCGAGATGTGTCCAGATCTGTGGTACTGTTGCGGTACATGATGATACACTATGGACTGGTTGTGGAGAGGCTCGCGTTTTCAGCCAATCATGGTCAATCTGAATCAGTTGCATCAGGTGGCTCACAGGGATGCTCGGTTTTCGGGATGGCAAGGACCCGTTGATCTGTGGCAGAGGTGGACCTGAAAAGCGTGTCATTTTCAAAGACAGGGAACGAAGTCCGGATGGCAAGCTCTTGCCTCAGTTATGCATAAAACAGATGTTCAATCGAATGGTAAAAAGTTAGTTTTGCCGTCCGATGTTCGAAAGCTTCCGGCAAGGGCCTGTCACCACGACAAACAAGCAAGCCTTTACCCATACACACGCAGCTGCCGCTTCTTCACGAGTAGCTGCAAACGCCTCCTTCCGAGATTCCGAGATCAGCCACCAGGCAACATACACGAAACAGCAGACACAGCGCTGGAAGCTGACAGTGGGATCCGTACCTGTGTCATCATCATCACCAGCACCGCCGTCATCACCACCACCACCATCGTCATCATTATCGTCATGATCGCCATCGTCACCGGAATCGCCGTTAGCTATTTTCAACCCTGTCCTTCGCACCTAAGACCAGCCATCACATCGACAACGAGCAGTTCCTACACTCTAAGGCAATCTCAAGGCCACACAAGCATTAGGACCATTAGGAGTCGAGTCTTTCGGCAAGTGTAAGGCCACTCAAGCATACTGTGAGACTCACCAGCTGCCTCCATTCCTGCTGATGCATGCATCTCGGAATCTCCATGCCGCGAGGGCAGGCGGCGAGGACGGAAGTCAATGACTTCAACGACATGGATGCGATGTTACGCGTAACCAGCTGGAAAGTTCAAAGCCATGCCTCCAAGTCTTCGATGCTTCCTCACTCCTCAACCAGAGTGAGAAGAAGCTCAAGGCATTTTGGCGATTTTCCATTGGTGCTGGGCTAGTAGACCGGTGGTCTTCATGGAGCCTGTTCAAAACGATGATGCTGAGACAAAGCCGCTCGAAACAGTATGTAGCCCAGATAAGATGCCTCACCTCATCCTGAAATCATGACTCATCCATGCAATTCAACATGCCGTCCGGAAAAGCAAGGATTGAGGCGCACCAAAAACGCGGGTCCCGGCAGGATGGCAGTTGAGGGTCGAAAGTTTGGATCGCTTAAAGTAATGCCGAAGATGGCTTGCTTGCAACATGCAGCTCGTTTCCCAGACCTTTTGCAAAAGGAGGGCGTGGGCTGCAGGGCAGGTTGCAGAGCTTGCTCACGTTCCGCTTAATCAACCGCTACAGTACATGTAGCCTGACAGACATGAGCGGTGCTCTCAGGAGCACTTGTAGGTAGACTTGGGTAGTGGTAGATGTAGTGGCAGATGGGTGAGCAGGGGGTACTTGTAGGACAGTGGCCAAGTAGGCAAGCAGTGAAATAGCTGCAATAGCAAGTCGTCGTCGTAGCAGGATGAGGAGGACGAGGATGAGGAGGATGAGGAGGAGGAGGAGGAGGATCAGCAGCAGTAGCAACAGCAGCCCAACTAGTGAGACTTACTGGTTTCCGGTTTTGCCCGAGCTAGGACCCGCGTCTGCTTCCGCATCTGCACGCCGTGGAGAAGCTTCATCAAGCACTTGATCCATCGGCTTTAAATGCCGATGTCAGGAACTGCAGGATAAATCACAGCTTGCTCCAGCTTGTAACATGTCTTAGCTGTAGCCTACAGAAACTCAGGGATAAACAGAGCTCGATGAGGCTCAGTGCGTCTTCGACCGGCTGCGGGTTGCCGCGCCAGTCAGCAATGATGGGACCTTGGGCTTCAAAGCACCGGGACCTCGCTGCACGCCCGTCATATAACTTGACTTGAAGCATTCAACGGCTGCCTCCAACCCTCGGAAGCCTTCCGGCGACCACCTCCCAGATTGCTCATGTGCTCAGGGCCACACCGAGTGACCTGGTTCAGAGTCACAACGAACATCACTTCATGTTGCACTCGTGGCACCTCAAGAACTCACATCTGATCAAGAGCCTTCTGAGGCGTAGCGTGCACGTCTGCTGGCGCCCTGCGAGCTGCAAAGGCCGCAAGAAGCTCTAAGCTACCCATCTCAGCAACCACAAGTCGGAATGATGTCTTCTGGCAGAGATCACAGATCTGAAGAGAAGCCGGGACATCTGCGACACAACATTTTCGCCTTCTTCCTGTCTGAGCATCATGATTCGTAGCCGATTCCCGGCCTTCTCACTACCACTCAGTCTCTTTCTTGATCGCCACGACTCTCACTGTCTTCCACTTTTCTTGGTAAAGCGCTTCTGGCCTGGATTTCTATCAATGCTTGCATTACGTCGAAAGTGAACCACTTCATCTCTTCATAAACTTGCACTGACATCGCCTCTTGCACTCGGAGCTCGAAGACCAAACATCCAACGCTGAAAGCCCTTCAGATCTGACAACGCATCCGGACTCGTCCTGTCGAAGCCCACCCATGCAAACAGTCTTCGCCTGGAGGGCATGATACTTCCAGCAGCTTCGAGAACAAGTGGTGTGCTATGTGAACTTATCCAACAAGCCAAAAGGGCACCCCTGTCGCCGCACAGGACTTGCTCAGCCTCAATATGCCTCAATGGATCATTCATGAGGGCGCTGCGTGATCCACGAGGGATGATGAAGAAGTTCTGGATCGTCGCCTGGATCTCCAATTGGAAAAAGCTGTTACCACCGTCATTCCGGCACAACTCCAAAACTCCCTTCAGGCCTCAGGCAGCCGGGCGTAGAAGCCATCAGGAAACCGACAGGTACTTCTTGCACCCTGCCTAGGGAGGGCCCTTCAGCCCCTTTCCGGGGTCCCGGCAGGCGTGTCTCCGCCTCCTCTAAGCTGCCTCAAGAAACGGATAGCTCTACGAAGCCGGGCAAGAAAGACTTGGTATGGTAGGGATGGTATACAGACATTCGCACGAACTATACTGGCAGCAATGTGGCGCCTGTGCTTCTGCACTAGTTCAGCGTTTCTCCCACCCAACTGTAATCACATATGTTACGCACTTCTGGCCCTTCAGTAGCAACGATTAGAATGGTAATCCTTGCTTGCAATTCCTAGCAATAACGAATGCCGGATCTTGGGCAAGAACGCGACGACACTGATTACTTGCTCATCCATGTCAAACACGATGCGATGATAGACGCACGACTCCCATGAAAGCTAGGCAAAGCTTCCCAGGTTAGGTAGCAGGCACTTTGGTCACCATGGTTTAATTTAGGGTCCAAGCTGAAGCTGAACGACGTCAGCGTGCCTGAAATCTGTCGGCAGGGAAGCGTCTGCGCTGACGCGATCGAGGTAGCGACACTGAGAGCGCCTCCAAGTCTATGAAAAGCTATCAATGATGCGATTTTGACATGCCACATCTTGCGAATCTCAAGTAGGTCTGGCTAAGACTTCATGTGTAGGCGTATCTGCAAGTGATGTGCCCAACAGACAGTGTCTTCGTCTGACAGCTCGAATTTGCGTAACAGAAGATAGCCCAGCATGATGTGAAGCAATCTTGCAAGCCCTCTGCCAGCCCATCAATCAAGGAGGATTGCTCAACACATGTTGCAACGCAACCGCGGCACCTGATTTCGCAAAGGGACTCCACTCAGAAATCTTGGCTAGTCCACGCAATTTGCTGCCGTTGCCCTATTCCCTCATGCGTTCCTGAGCTGCCACTCCGCGAGATGCGAGGCTGGTGAAAGTCCTCTGACTCACAGAGCTGCGGCGACCTGAGTATGGTGGCGAGTATGGTTGTTCTAAGGAATGCGTTCCTGCCAGTATTAAACTGCCTTAAGATTACCCCCTCCGGCTCCCAAGCCAACATCAGCAGCAGCATCACAACGCTCGCAAGAAATTGACTCCGTGTGGTTTTCGTCAGTGTCACCACGACCATTGACCATCGTTGCCAAATCTATGACCCATTGGTTGGTGCTCCACTTGCCACTTGCAGGCCAAGCATCCACGAGAACTTCTTGATGCTGGTGGGGCTGGCCTTGGTTTTGTTTTTTCAACACGGGGTTTTGAGTCCTAAGCGGCTTAACCTCAAGCTGACAACAGCAATGCAACAGTGCACTTGCAAGTAGTGGCAGTGTGTCTTCAGGCCATGGTTCTGTCATAACCTGCTGTAACCTGCTTGTGAAGGGCTGTAGCCTTCCCGCCCCCCAGGCGCTAAGCGTCGAACTCTGCCATCGCAGGACGATGGCCGTCTGCTAAGGCAGCTTTTCCTGTGGCTGGCGCTTCCAAGCCCTCACTCGTCGCAGATGCCTTTGCGCCTTTGTGCGATATTCGTTCATGGATACTCGTAGAGCTGCAGATGCTGTCATCCACGGGCACGGCGCTGAACACCCGCTCGAATTTGTGGCGAGCTATTCGACTAACACCTCGAGAAGTTCACGAAAGGAGCCTTGGATTCAAAAGATGTATGCCCAGTTGGCCTTCCGCAAATCTTCCCAAGCTGTCACTAAAACTGCACCCAGGTACGGATGAACCCTCTATTGGACTTCAGCGCAACACTCTGCAAGGCTTTCTGCACCCGTCCTGCGATGAGGCGACGCTGGCACCTGCTCGGCGCTTGCGGACGATCTTCAGCTAGGATCTCGAAAGTCTGCAGGGTCAATGCTTTGCGGTGTTGGTGGCAGACCCAGGTGCCGTTTACAAACTGGTCGCTGACGGCTAAGGACCGGACTGAAGGCCCACAGAATTCTCTGCCCGCACCCTTGGACGTTTATTGCATTCTTATTCGCTCCAACCCCAAGCCTCAGGAACACGAACTACATATGCATGCGGTGGGCGTGAGCTGAGCTGGCGACACAAATCTTCGGAGAGTCCTCGAAAGCTACGCAGACCTTGGCCGGCAGACCAGATTTTTGCAAGCGGCCGACATGGCGAGAACCACGTCGCACTCGAGCAACTTCCTTTCGGTATCTTTCGATGCCGGCAAACAGTCTTGTTCTCCCAATCGGCCAACTCTAGAAAACGAAGATGCTTGCCAGGATTTGCCAGGCTCCATGCAGAACAACCATTCATTATCACATGTCAAGCATTTCCACAGACTCATTTAGAACCAAGCTTTCTCCGTGAGCCATCACCTGCCCGCCAGAATGCAACCTGCCGGCATGATCCCTGCATGTACATCGTTATTGTGGGCACAACAGTCACCTTGATGGCGCTGCCCGGCCCAGGTCTGTAAAACCGAAAAGGAGAAGACAAAGGCATCAAGCATTTTACCAACTTGGCTGGGCCAGGTTTGAGAAAAGTGTCCAGACCCCGGGCCGTGAGCCGGCAGGCGGACTGTTATGGGAGGATGTCACGCGGCCGACCGCTCGTTCCATTGGCCAAGGTCTTTCACACCGAGCGGGCCTGCCCGCTGCCGGCTGATGGCATCCTTGCCGTTTCATCTTCATGTCAAGAAGGGACCGGACACATCGTAGACTGCAGCGTAAATTGTAGGGCTGTCATCACGTAGTTCGTGGACCATGCGGCAGCACAAAGACCCGGAGATTCCTGCAGCGGACAGCACATTGCGGGCATGGTGATTCCCGCTCAGGCTTGCTATTGCCGTTACCGGTGCTGTTGCAATTGACGTTGTTAGTGTTGTTGCTTCTATTGATCTTGTAGCCGCTGATCTTATCGTCGCTGTCTTCGTCGATGTTGTTGCTGCCATTGTCGTTGTTGATATGAATACGGCTGGTGCTGGTGCTGGTGCTGTTGCTGCTGTTGCTGCTGTTGCTGCTGTTGCTGCTGTTGTTGGTGTTGCTGTTGCTGTTGCAGTTGTTGGTGTTGTTGGTGTGGTTGGTGCTGTTGGTGTCGTTGTCGTTGTTGTCGTTGTTGTTGTTGTTGTTGTTGTTGTTGTTGCTGCTGCTACTGCTCGGCTGCGTCTTCAATGTCTCATTATTCATGTTCGTCTTATGTTTTCTTATTATTCTTCTTCTTCCGTGTATTCTTCTTTGTCCTGATGTTGTTGGTGGCGGTGGCGGTGGCGGTGGCGGTGGCGGTGGCGGTGGCGGTGGCGGTGGCGGTGGCGGTGGCGGTGGCGGTGGAGGTGGATGCGGAGGTGGAGGTGGAGGTGGAGGCGGAGGTGGAGGTGGAGGTGGAGGTGGAGGCGGAGGTGGAGGTGGAGGTGGAAGTGGAGGCGGAGGTGGAGGTGGAGGTGGAGGCGTAGGTAGTGGTCGTGGGGGTGGCGGTGGCGGGGGTGCTGGTGGCGTTGGCAGGGCTCAGTGTTATGGCCCAAAACGTAGGGGTCTATCACGGTTTATGAGATTGGTGAAGTAGCCCTGGGCCATTGCTGCCCAAGAACCAGCCCTCACGGTGTGCCAGAAGGTCAATGGGGATGAACTGCCCGGTGACGCTTCATCCAAAGAGCCGTCTTCTTCAGGCGCCTTTGAGCTCTCCCTTTACTTAGTGGCTGAAAATCAAGGAGTGCACAGATTGAACCCGAAGCACATGCCAGCCCTTACAAGCTGTATAACCAAGAAAATGACAATCGCTTGTCAAGCCGCCAAAATCCGTCACCTCTCTGCCGAAGACATTGCAGATAGTGCCTCCTGCAGTTCGAGATCATAAATACACCTCTCCCGGCCGGTATTGGAAAACGGCACAGCCCCACGAGCAACTGGCCCATAGCTACATTTCGCAAGTTCGCTCCTCCACAACCGTGCGAGTTTGACTCCTGGCGAAGATCTTAAGTGTCAAGGATTAAGCACGGCGTTATCCGCGTTGGAGTGGGAGATCCAAAGATTTAGAGGGGAGTTCCGGGCAAAGGTTCGAGCTGTGGGAACAGGCTCTTACGGCCTTCGGAATGGGCCCGTCTGCTGGGGTTGGTTGTTATGACACACCGCGGACCGTCGTGACAAACGGCGGATTGTGCTCCGAACTGCAAACATCACACCTGTAGATCCCTGAGGTTTGCAGATCAAACTCGTGAGGTTTCTCACACCTGCAAGACTAGGATTGAAATGTCCCGGGTTCTGCATTCCAGATGATATCACTGGCATTGGTTCCAAGCCGTGTGAGAGGGTGCAGATCGGGCAACATCTGCTGTTTCGGCATGGGTGCCGACTCAGTGAGTATAGACGTATGCCTGTCGAATAGGACTAGCCAAGCAGTCCTCAGAGGCACTGTTTCGAAGCATGGTGCATTGAGAGGCACCCGAAAAGAACAGAACCCCCAAATGCCCAAAGCCGTTCCTGGTCATCGCTCGCTGCCGCACATCTGCAGAGCCCAGCGCTTGCACGAGAGCTCCGAGGCGAGCCTGCTACAAAAAACTGGGAGCCAGAGAAGCGCGAGGCTAAGATCCGTCTTGCACGACCAACCGTCACGAGGATAGCCTGCGACTTGGCAGATAAGAGCTGGAGCTCTTGTGCTCGGTGAAGGACCACATGCACACAATCCACCCTCATCCGCTCTGAGCTCACATTATACATGGCTTTATCAGAAGCTGGGAGCTCACATGACGCGATGTTGCATGAAATCGGGGAGAGCCCCGTCATAGAGACGCAAGTCTGGTAGTAAGAATGTACGCGCGGATCCGTGCAGAGCCTGGTACTCTTCGTCGCCTGAGGTGGCCAGGGACAAGGAGTTCATTGGACTCACGACGAAGATACACAGGCCTACAGCACAGACCCTCACGAGCTTGCCCCGACTATGGTCCACACGCTCGGCCAAGCTTCTGTCATCGACATCGTCTTCGGTCACGAGATCTTCCCACAGAGCCTTCTCCAGATCTGCAGAAACATCGTCAACTGCGTCAGTCTCCTGTGCAAGCCCCGAATGGCAGTCTGGACATGTAACGACATCACCCCGGTGTCCTGGCGGTGCATCGCCCGCCATTTGGCCACCAATTCGCGCGCTGCAGCCTCGATCAAACCGTCAACACATGCAGACTGCGAATGGCAAAAGCTATCGGGAGGAGCTTGTACACCCTTGCACACCCTTCCCCCGCAGACTCTGACTCTACAATCTTCATGAGCACGTGTCCACACAGATGTCTGATGTACGACCTGCTCTGTGGTGTTCCGATGCGTATGCGTTGACAGACGTGATTTCAACAAAGAAAGGCAAGCCACGAGAGTCTGGCGTGCAGCCTCTTGGCCCTTCCAGGCCTCTGGTGCCGCAGATGATACGGAAGCAGAGCGTGGATCGCTTTTCTTGACCCCGCCCTCCGGTCGATGTTGTGGGGATCAAAGCTTCCGCTTTGCAATGGGAACAGACAGTCGAGTGGAGATAGAATTCCTTTGCTTCTTCTGGTTGGCATCCCCAGCCCCGTTTCTGCCTTCGCCACGTCGTTGACCACTCTGCCGATGCCTTGCAGGACTGCAAACTGGCGGGGGTAGCAGCCAATGCTGAGCTCGTGATGTCTTTTGGGCTCATGCTGCACTCTGACGCGCATGTTTGGCTATTGCAGACGAAACTTTGCTTCAGCCACCTGTCTGCCGCAGCACGACGGCGTCCACCGGCATTGCAGCGAGATGCTGAAGCTGGAGCAAGGCTTGGTCTGCCACTTCGCAAGCCTTCAAGGCCATCAGAGCGGAGGGAACAGCTGCTGTCAGGGAGTGGCGGCCCTCCTGGTCTTTCCTTGTGTTCGCTTCAGGTTGAACCTCCATCTGAGGCCTTTGTTTTCATGTCAACCTTACTGGGTGCGTGTGCCAATACGGTAACGAAAACGAGGTCCAGGTTCTCCGACTGCATTTTGTGGATGAGCCTTTTACTGCGCCGTTCTGCTTGGAGAACTTACGGTGCTTTCCCATGCTATATTGAGACCATGCGGGATTTGCCTCACATAACACTGAACGATGTGGTCGCAGTTCTGGACGGCAAGGCACACCGTGAGTTATGGTCTTCACCGCTGGCAACGACAAGGCAAAGTCTGCAATGCGCGTTCTCAAGGACGCCGGTGGCACGGTGTCGGAACACCGCACATAAATATTGATTACATCCCAATCCCAAACCCTGGCCCATGATGCGACCCTAGATCTGCTTCGGAAGTTCCTGCCTTCAGCCGATCCCGGATCATGGCCACCTGCTGACACTCCTCGCTGTTAGGAGCAGCGTCTTCCGCCGCACGGCCTTCGGGGAATCGAGGTTGCGCTCGGGGATCATGCGTCTGAAACTGGGCTTCCCAGTCCCAAAGTCCTCATGGTCCTCAACTGACTCGAACATCCGAAGGCTATAGTTGTCAGCTCCGAAAGAAGGTCTCACGATCGCAGCCATGGGGCCGAGTAGAACCTGCCGCAGCCTTGCACGGCCCGAGGCACGTCGCTGCAGCTTTGAAGAATCTGCAGCCAAACCTTGGCTTCTAAGCTTTGAGGCTTCGAGCTTTTAGGGGGTCAGGGCTGCGGAACACGACATAAGAATCTTCTCGGGGTGGAGTCTTGACCGCTGGTAGCACAGCAGCGCAAGGCTATCGCTGTGATAGTTGAATGCAGCAAACCTCATTTCTGCAATCTGGATGCTTCAGGGCATAAAAACTATCGCGGGAGCCATAGTTGCTGCACTCTACACTCTCGTGTAGTACACGATTCGCGACGACTCGCGGAATGTATGCCCACAGTAAGCCAGCTTGAAAAAATGCCAACCGGAAGGCCAGACATGCCAATCCGTCCTGCCGAGCCCCGGAACATGCCGAACTGTGAAGCTGCAAAGACCGTCGTGCAAACATTACTGCAGAAGGGCTTCGTGCCCGCTTAATAGCAGACCTCGACTGCTCCTCTGTGCACGGATTGGCAAGGACTGCTAGGGCGACTTGATGACTTCAAGGGGTCCTAGTAATTCAGTAAGTGAAAATGGAGGCCATGGGCATGTCGTCACAAGCACTGGTTGCGGAATGGTGTAGTCACATCGCACAAAGGCGGCAGAAAGTCGTTCGCCTAAGAATGCACGCGCGTGCGGCACATGAACAGTTTTGCGATGTCGGCGCACACCAAATGTCGAGTAAGTGGTTAGCCTCGTGTGCTGTTTGTCCACTCCTAAAAGACTCAAATCAGCAAAATGTCGCGGCTTGCAACGGAGCGTACTTGTACGGCTTGCTCGGTAAATCAGAGCAGCTACGAGCGTCGTAGAACAGCATACTACTGTGGTTCAACTTCAAGTTAAGCAAATCGCTGTGCGGTGTTCAAATCATAACGGGCAATAGCGGCATTGGCTTGCCTGCTGCATTTCATCACGGCCCACTCCTCTCTCTGCAAGGCGCCCTGCGGCATGTGTGGAAGCTTCGCTTTCTCCTCATCCGGCATCCGGCACCAAATTGCAGAGCACTCACGAAATTTGAAAACAACAACTACACGGCTGACACAGCCGCACGTTGGCTCCAGATCGAGTGGACCGACTTCGCAGACAAGGCTCTTTGAACGTAAAGGTCAAAGGCATCATGCTGCTTCGATGGAAGTCGTAAGCCATGGTGTTCGGCGCCACTGCGCAGACCGGAAGATATCAGGACTGGAGCCAAACACTAGCTAGCCGGCGACGTACAGGTCTCGTTCAACATGGTTTGGACTCGCAACAAAGATTAACTTCCGAAGCTCGAAATTTGCGAAACTTTTCACTTGTACCTGACGAGGAAGCTCCTGCTTCGGGGTTTCTCGTCTTCCTGCTCCGCGACGGATGACGCCAAAAGGCTAGAGGCCAGAAAGGGGTGCAGAAGAATCATCGGAGACAGGACGACCGTGGACGACCATATCCAGGGCGTTCACTGAAGCCCTTAGGCTATGGCTTGTAGCAAACCTGACGTCCGGCGCACAACGGCATCCTCATCACCAATTGAGGGCATCCCTTCTGGTTCTAGCTTCACGGTCAAGGCGTTGATCGGAACCTCTGTTGGGTACAGGAAGTGCATCGCTCAGCCCGGAATTGCAGGATTTACGGAGCGGGATGGAGGTATTATGAGGTATGGCCTGGTTATGAGCTATGGCTTGCAAGCTGTGTAGTTTTTTTGACTACCGTACTGTTTCGAAACCCACCGCGGGCCAGGCCGAAACGGGCTCAGCTTCGTGGCTGAGCGTGCCGGGCTCTGCCTGGCATGTGTGGCTCCGGGAGTTAAGGCCTGTTGCCTCGGGAACACACTCCTTCAGTCTACGTGGCTCAAACCATTCATGCCTACAGCCATTCAGGCACAGCATCGCCCCCTTCGGGGTGCTTCGACTGGCACTTCGACCAGACCCTGGACCACTGCCACCAACAACAGAACATGTTCACGAGGCGCACCAGCCGCTGCCACTTCCCGCTGACGAAGGCAACGCCGCGCTGCTCCGTAGGGTGTCCCGGGCCGGGGGACTGCACAGCGAGCCAACAGGCAAGCTATTATTCGTAGTAAGGTGCAGAGCATGACAGAGGTGGCAATGATCAGTTCCAAGATTGTTCCAAGTATGCTGGACGGAAGAGCAAACACCATGGTGCAAGAAGACATATAGAACACAAACCGAGGTCAGATCAACGCATCCAACCCCAAGAGACGGTTAAACTTGCTTCGAACAAGCACATTAGCAACGAGACAAAGATCTCTGAGTGAGTGGTGCCGATGACGGTGACGGCTACATGTTGAGGAGGTGAAGGAGGGGATGAGGAATAGGAACAAGAGGGAAAAACTTCACCGCGGCCTTCGTCATCACTTGCACGATTTTCACCATCATCAGCATCAGCATCATAAAAAACGTCATCATGATGATGGTCATCACCATCATCGCCAACACAAGGTTCCCGATCACCACCTTCGTCCCTATCCTCAACTTCAATCGCATGCTCGGCATCACCATGATCATCATCCCCAGCATCATCAATCATCATCATCGAACCATTTTGAACAACCAGCATCAACAGATCGGATAGTTTCACGACGAGCACGAATGTCATCATGCGCACCACCAACAAGATTGTCAAAACCATCACCATCATCATCGTCGTCGTCGTGGGCGTCGTCGGTCCAACCGCGATCGCTCGTTAGCCTTATTAGCTAAGTCGATACAACCGCCGTCGCGCTCACCATCGATATCATTACTACCACCATGGTCACCACCATCAATCACCATCACGCGGATCTCACCAGCAATCGCCGTCATCTCGATTGTTGATAATGAGCATATTCACACCATCGCCGTCGTCACTATCGCCACTCCTCATCACATTGTTCTTCAGTGCCCCTGGCACTATCACAAGTGTCACGCTGAAGGTCCTTGCCATTGGCACACTATTGTTGTCGGCGATGGTGATTAGCCGGCTGATGATGCTGCAGACGGCATGATGGTGATGGTGATGGCAAGCATGAACCCGAGAACTGCATGACAAGATCATCAGTTTGTGGGTGATGTGGGTCTTTGTCACCACCGCCATCCTTAGCATCCTCTTCAAGGCCATTTCCTCACTATTTCTTATCAAATTGTGAACATCAGCTTCGTCATTGCACTAAAGCTGTCACCATCGCTACAGTTACAGTCATCGCCCCGGACGACCTCTGGTTGGCAGCTGAATCAAAGCAGGAAGATGTGGTGCCCCGGGTGTAAGTAAGTACTCCGCTATCACCGTTGGGTGCGAGTCGCGAGTCATCCCCGGGCCCCGGGCAAAGCCACAACAGCAAAGACAAAAAGGACGAACACCGACCCGAGCTAAACACATAACATCCATATGTGGTGTGAATGGTCGTGCTATCTGAAGGTTGGTGCTGGAATCTCACCTCAGCCTCACCTGTACCCTGCCACAATCCACTGGTCGCGTTTGGCTATACTGCCTGTACAAGCTCGAGCACGCCACGGATCTCGTTGAGCGGAATTTGCGGAATCGGAGCCACCTCCGGTAGGCATCTCTTCTCGGCAAAACTTCCATTAGCAGACGAAAAGCCGAAGAACGTGTCGCTACAATGACCATGGACCTCAGAGACCGGATAGTCTTATGCTAATTATTTGTGCTAGCATCTCAGTAGTCGGGGCCTGTGCGAGTAGCCCAAAGACCTAAAGACACACTTTCTTCACGCAACACCGAACTTGGTTGGACTCCCAGGGTCTGCAAGGGCGTTGCCAGGAATAGCGCGTGATTGCCATCTTGCATGTACTGCTTCAGACGGTCATCTGCAGCGGACTGTGAAGTCACCAAGGCGTCAGCGATCTGACTACAGCTGATTAAACCCAATTCCAAAAACTGCCGTCCCTCTGCCTCCTGCTTTTTTGGTGCAAAGCTGGCAGACTCGGCACGACCTGGCGCCTGAGGGTTGAGGCGTTTTGCGCCAAAGTTTGGGGCTTGGGGTTTACCTCACACATGCTCAGGTTCCGGCAGCTTTGGCTTCAGGCACCGGCTCTGGCTCTTTCCAAGCCTCTCCTTCGTAGTACTGCGTCCTCTCGAAAAGGCTGAAGGAGAATCCAAGATTTTGGGGGTGTACTAAATTATTCTGATTCTGACTATGCTACTCGCACTCACGACTCACAAGTAGCGCACTCTAAAACCGGAGCAACGCCGCTATTGGCCGTTTTCCAAGAGTTTGCAAGGGCTCGCTGCTCGCTGAAAGCTTCGAGAGCTCCGCTGGAAGGGATACTAATACTGTTGCTATTATATATGTGTGGGACTGCTGCCGCTGCTCCTCCTGCCGCTACCTGCACTGCTCCTGATACACAGATACTGCCCCTGCGACTGCGTGTGCTGCTGCTGCTGGTGCTCCTACTCCGACAATTCCAGCTCAGACTTCTCCAACCCTTACTCCTCCTACCTGCTCCTGCTCCTACTCGTGGTGGTACTCCTGCTGTAGCAGTAGTAGTAGTAGTAGTAGTAGTAGCAGCAGTAGCAGTAGCAGTAGCAGGAGCAGTAGCGGTAGCACTAGCAGTAGCAGTAGCAGTAGCAGTAGCAGTAGCAGCAGCAGTAGCAGTAGTAGCAGTAGCAGTAGTGGCAGTGGCAGTGGCAGTAGCAGTAATAGTAGTAGTAGTAGTAGTAGTACTAGTAGTACTAGTAGTGGTAGTAGTAGTAGTAGTAGTAGTAGTAGTTGTAGTAGTAGTACTCGTAGTAGTAGTAGTCGTAGTCGTAGTCGTAGTCGTAGTCGTAGTCGCAGTGGTTGTGGTTGTGGTAGTGGTAGTGGTAGTGGTAGTGGTAGTAGTAGTTGTTATTGTTGTTGTTGCTGTTGTTGTTGTTGTGGTAGCGCAGCAGCAGCAGCAGCAGCAGCAGCAGCAGCAGCAGCAGGAGTAGTAGTAGTAGTAGTAGTAGTAGTAGTAGTAGTAGTAGTGGTAGTAGTGGTAGTAGCGGTAGTAGTGGTAGTAGTGGTAGTGGTAGTGGTAGTAGTAGTAGTAGTCGTGGTGGTGGTGGTGGTGGTGGTGGTGGTGGTGTTAGCATTATCAGTACTGCAGTATTG